TTTTTTTGAATTCTGACTCCGTAACCTTTTCAGGCGTCATCTGCCATTCCTCAGGCTCATCATTGTCTTCGCAAATTTGGGGATTCCGCTTGACACCCTTGTCAAAGCGGGCCTTAGACCTCTTGCGTGCTGCTGCGTAAATCTCAGACCAGACACGTTGCGCCAGTGAAATGACTTCTTTGTCATGATCCGGGTCGGCCACAGTCAACATCAGGAGCTCGTTTTTCACAATTTGGTCACATTGCAGTCTTTTTTCTCCAAGAGTGTGTTTCATCCTGGAAAAGTCCCTTTCCAAGACACTATCGGAGGCACTCAATGTGGCATAATGAGCCAAAGCGACCTCAAGATTGTCCACAGGATGCCGTCGTCTTGCTGCAGCGCTGGAAGTCTTTGCCAGGGCGGACTTCCAACTATCCAAGTTGGAACAAGTTGGACGATGCTCCTTCCAATGACCATATGCTATTTGACCAAGGTCAAAGAATTCTTGCTTAAGCCCCTGCATGTCAAGCTCCAGGCTGTTTGCAACGCGCTCAAGCTGTGCTGGCTTAAGTCTTCCTGTTTGATTCTAGCAGCTGTTTGCTGTGGAAACTGATTCAGGTCAAACAATGAGAAGCATGGAACCAGTTCAAATGCCGGGTGTTCCGCCCGCACGACTTCCTCAGCCAATTTCATCCATGCCAGCATTCGTGACAAGCACTGACTCTTGACTTCCTCCTTGACTCCATTTGGCCCGCCCAGGCATCGCACCACACCACGTGTGATGAAATGTGTCGGGCTTTGCAGGAACTTGAGCGTCACTTTCGTGTACCCAGGAGAAGTCCAAACGTGCTGCCTGATTGCAAAACACATCAACAAATATTGTAAATGTTCTGAAGATTCTGAAGTTGAAAAACAAATGAACTTGAAACTTAGTTGATCAAAAGACCAAGTTACTGCTCAAAAAGAAACTGGATCCGGCTGAGGAAGTCCGAGATGGCTTCGGCGATTTTCGCGCTGTCTACCTCCGCCTGGTCAAAAAACCTGATGAGGATCAGGCACTCATCACAGGCGTCGGATAGGAGGGCTGCTTGCAGAAGCATTTCTTCATCTATAGTATCCAGCAGAGCCTCTGCAAAGCTGCACGCAGGATCCCCTTGCCTTTCAGCACAAATGCGGCCCAACACTCCAAAGACCGCCTCCCAATTCAAAGCCAGCCTGCTCAATGGGGTGGCAAGGCTCTCGTATCGGTGTTTCGCTGCACGCAGGTGTGTCCACTTGTTGGTCACTGCACCACTGGTTGATTGCTTGCACGCTTCCTCATACCAGCATCGAAGGTCATCGGAGTGTTGAATCATCTGTGACAAAGAACCGGACTCGGTGACCAAAGCGCCTGCCACCACTGAAAGGTATTTGTCAGCAGCCCAAGGGCGACTGAGTATTCGGCGAGAACCGTGGGCCTTGTCTTTGACGATTGTCCGCAAATTTGGTGCTACTGCTTCACCAAAGTTTGCGGCAGTTGAGGATTTGTTGGAGAGCATGTTTTCTCCACTGGTGACCTCATTGCCAGCCGCATCAACCGTCAGGTAATGAATGCGATGTCGAATGTGCTTCAGAAGTTCGACATCAACTTCTTGAAGTTCAGTGGCAACGGCCTCTGAGACATTTGGCACGCCATGGTTTTTGCAACAGAAGGCAGTAAGCAAACCCACGGTGACATTGGTTATGTTTGTCGCCGTGCTTGGATTCACTCTGCCTTGACCCAATACTCCAATGAAGCGCTCGGCTTGCCTTATCTTGCGCACCAAAGTCTGGAAGCAACGTCCGACTAAGCCTAAATCAAAAAACAAAAGAAAAGGATGGTCAAAATATCATCCGAGGGGCAAAGTCGCACCGCGAAATCGGACGAGCAACCTTGAATGCCGCTCATCCCTGAGGATGTTGATAGTTTCACACTTGCTTAGCTGAGCACGATAAAGCCTGCGGAGCGACTCTGTCAACACAAAGCACATGCTTCGGGACTTCTTGAAATGGCCAACCCCAGCAATGCCATCACGAAGACATTGGCCTTTGCGAACCCATTGCAGCAAGCACTGGAAAGAATTACCATCCGGAGCCGCGTCGTGCCGCAGCGGCATTTGCGCCGGAAGATCTGCTGATGGTTGCAACAAGCGCATCACAGCTGCCAAATGAGCCTTGGAACTCTCATGCGATTTCACTCTGTAGGGCTTAAGCGCTTGCACTGTTGTGATCTCAAAGCGACCCCACACATCACGATCCCCCAGTGGGGGCAACTCCGAGCACACGATGCATCCAATGGCAAATGAATGCCCTTCCTCCACATGGGCAGCCAGCCAAGTTTCATCCCCCAATCTATCGACATGTTCCTCAAGAGCTTCTTTCGGACACATCTCAATAATTTTGGCTGAGATGATTGGGTGCTTCGTCTTGTCCAGCTTGCCATAGCGCTTGCAAGGACAGCGGTCATTGCATGAATGCTCGCCCAAGGCATCC